AGATGCAAAATGACTAAAAGTAGATCCAAATGATTAGAGGAAGATGCAAAATGACCAAAAAGAGCCACAAACTTACTAGAAAAAGATCCAAAAGCATTACAAAGAGATGCAAAATGACCACACTAAAATCACCATAAAGAGACGCTAAGTGACTACAGAGAGAGATGCAGATGACCATAAAGGGATGCTAAATGACTACAGAGAGATGCTAAGTGACTACAGAGAGATACAGAGGGCCATAAAGAGACGCTAAGTGACTACAGAGAGAGATGCAGATGACCATAAAGGGATGCTAAATGATTACAGAGAGATGCTAAGTGACTACAGAGGGATACAAAATGGATGCAAAATAACTACAAAGAGATGCAAAATGGCCAGAGAGAGAGATGCAGATGACCATAAAGGGGTGGTAAATGACTACAAAGAGACACAAAATGACCACAAAGAGATGCAAAATGAGTCTAAAGAGATGCAAAATGACTACAGAGAGATGCGAAATGACCACAAATAGAAACACAATGACGATAGAAAGATGCAGAATGACAACAGAGAGATGCAAAATGATTACAAAGGGATGCAAAATGATTACAAAGACTGCAAAATGACAACAGAGAGACGCAAAATGATTACAAAGGGATGCAAAATGATTACAAAGACTGCAAAATGACTACAGAGAGATGCAAAATGATTAGAAAGTGATGCAAAATGACCAAAATGAGATTAACTTATTACCAAAAAGACATGTAAAATGACTACAAAGGGATGCAAAATGACCTGAGAGACACAGACTGAGATGCAAAATGACCGGGTTTTGTGTCTCTTTCAGTCTGGGGGTCTTGACCTTATGTAGAATGGTTGGGGGCTGTTACACGTCTGTATCGAGGGGCCTATTCTCTCAGGCTAGTTGGAGATAAAAACAGCAGCTATTCATCAACAGTATTTCATATTAGAGTATTTAAGTTGTTAAATTGGTGTTAATTTATGACACTGACTAAATACTGAAACCATGAGGAATGATTATTTAGATTTGTTAACACATTTTACATAAATTAAACAAGTGGACAGTTTCAGTGCAAACCAGACACATGGGTGACATCCTGGTGAGATAAGATCAATCATCCAGAGAAGACAGAGCTCCAGAGAAACAAAGGTTGTGTGACCAGAAGTGAGTGACCAGGTGACCAGGTGAGGAAATAAAGCACACACAACAATGAGGGTGTGACTGCAGCATCTTCTGCCTCCTACCTGCTCTTTGACAGAAGCCAGGAGGTTGGTGGTTGTGGTGGTGGTGGTGCTGCTGTTGCTGCTGCTGCTGCCGGCGTTCGGCGGGAGGCCGTGACCGCTCGGCCCCTCTCTGACCGCCATGGGCCCTTCCCCCTCTGCGTCCCCCTCCTCCATCGCCTCCACCTCCCCACTATAGTCCAGAGCCGGCTGGCTGCTGAGGCGCCCTCTCTGACCCTGCAGAAGGACTACAAGCCGGTTAGGATGTGGACAAGGAGGAGACACGGCGAACATGAAATCACTGTCGTGGCCCCGGGGGCCTCTGAGGGTGTCAAAGTGCGACTTCACAGGGATCATATTGTGTTTTACCTGCTGTAATAATCCTGCAGGGATTCACTTTGACCTGGAGCTCTTGTTTTTTAAACCTCTCTAATATCCCTGCAGGGACTCGTAGTGAATTTACTGTGACCTCACGGTATCACTGTAATGTTTCTACAATGCCCCAATGAGGACTCACAGTGCACCTATAGTATCAATTTCTGTGGGGATTCATATCAATGAGATTATAATGCCTCCCCCTTCTATATGATTTTAGTCTCCTGTGGTTTTATGAGGCTCTCCAGTGGGGATTTAACCCTTCACTGCCGCGTGCTGTTGCACATTTTCCCACAAAGCAATAGTTTTACCTCAAAGCTTATGCATTGCATGTGCAGGTGTGCATGCACGCTGCACAGGAGGCATTTAACAGCATGTCACGTTCATGGTTTTCCCTCACATAACAGAGCCTGAGCCATCCGCGATCAGCCTCCATCATATGCTACACGCAGCCTGTCTGTCAAACGTGCACATCAATCACTCAGCCACCATCCGGCAGCCAAGGACGAGGTCACACCGACTCACCGGACCACAGACCGGGGAGCGCGGCTGCACTGAAACCGAGCCTCCCTGTCTTGTTCCCGTGCACCGGTGGACACGAGCCGGAGCTGCCCGGCCGCCTGGCGAGCTGCTGCGGCTGTCAGTGCGACTCACCGGCCAGATGTTGCTGTTAGAAGCAGGCCACAGCTGGCTCGATCCGTCCTGTTACGCATCCATCCTCCTCCTGCAGGCGGCCGTGACAGCTACTACATTCCCCCACGCGCCGACGCGACAAATAAACAAAACAAAAAGCAAACAGTCCCGCGCGCGTGCACACACTCCTCGTGCAATATATAAATATATATATTCCCCTTCCTTCTTTTATCCGGTGTGAGGTTTCAATGCACCCATCTACTCCTGGCGTCCGCGCGGCACCCACCAACCCGCCCACCAACCCGCCCAGCCACTATTACCGATCAGCGGCGTGACGTCACCATGCGGCGATGGATTATATTCCGATACAGGAATCGATCAACGCGCTGATGCACCGGTGCAGGAGCTGCTGCAGGAGCCGTGCTTTAAAGTGAGATGCAGCTCCGCGCAAACAGCGCTGCCGGAGAGGAAGGATGGAGCCTGCAGCGGCCACTGTGCGTGTGTGCGCGCGTGCATGTGCGTGTATGGGCGTGCGTGTGTGTGTTTTACCCTGTACACACACTGCTGTAGGCCTGACGGGTCCTTATGGGACTCCCAGGATGATTAAATAGTAAAAGTTTATGAAGTACTTAAGTATAAATTATGGAGGTCCAGTGTACGGAGGCACATTAGTGTCAAGATTTATTCATTTTTTTATTATTAAAAATAAAAACTTACATGAGACATTGATTAATATTATAATGCATTATATTATTACATTATATATTCTATTTTTTAATTTATTCTTTTATTTTGTTTGATCTTTTAAAACTTGGAAAGCACTTTTGAGATGCATTTTGTGTACAAAAAGCATTTTATTAATAACATTTATTATTAAAACTGCATTAAGTTTTCGCTAATAATCCTCATTAGGCTGTAAAATAAAAAATATTTAATAATTTTGACCTAAATTAATGACTATGACAGCTCGTACTGGTTAATTTGGAATGATGAGATACTAAATCAAACTATGAATTTAATAATTTCAAATTATGAGCATTCGTCAAAATTAAGAAATTTAGAATTTGCCCTCATATATTGTCATTTCTACTTACCCCATGAGTATTTTTTATTTTTTTCAGTCTTACATTTTTATTTATTCTGATATTTCTTTCCTCTTTCTGTGAACAGGCTTTGGATGCCGGTGAATTAAAGCAGTGATACTCAATTTACAGTCCATGATAGGGTGCCAGGTGTCAACCGACCAATTTCTAACTCACAATGAAAATAAACTGATTCCAAGAGTGCTTTAAAATCATCAAAATGGAGTTTGTTTATCAAAAAGTGCCACAGGAGGGTCCATCAAAGGTCCGGGATGAGCCCTGAATGTCCTAAAATTCCAGGAACTTGCCCCTGGTTGGGTCTCTGAACACATTCTCACTACGACTTTGTCACATATCGACGTTTGGTCATCGTCTTTCCGAGCCCACGTACAACGTCCAAGGCACCCTAGGTGTGTTGGTTGTTGACGCTCTTGGACGCCGTGACAACTTCAGCCTGTTACATGCATTGTCTGATCTCAAAATACAGTTTGCATACTGTCTCTTTCAAAATAAAAGCACGACGTCGGTACAACACCACAAACTGACGTTTTTTCCTTCAACAACAAAAGCTTGTGGTTGGGTTTAGGAAAAGAAAGAACAGGCTTTGGTTTACAGTCTCACGCTAAGCGATCACCAGCCTCCAGGGTGAAAGTTGGTGGTTGTTGGACCCATCCGCCCTATTTGGACTTCCAACCTTAACTTTAATCGATGTCCAGCCACATAACCCCCTGATGCCATTGGACACCGTCAAACAATAATGGCGACTGTCCACTTACCTTGCTGACGTAAAAAGGACAGCTTTTGTCGTCGGTGTCTGACACCACAAGTCACTGCCCAAGCACTGGATTTCGACGACTTTGAAGTGAGACCAGGTTCGTCAGGTATACCTGTGGCCTGCGGCAGTGTGTTTTCAGGTTGTCTGTTTGTCCTGTTTTCGTGAAAGCAACATCTCAAGAACGCCTCGAGTGAACAGACAACCAGAGGACATATTGCATCAGGCCACGGGTATACCTGGCCAACCTGGTCTCACTCCGAAGTTGTTGAAATCTGGGGCTTGGTTCGTGACTTCCGGCATCAGATACCGACGAATGCAGCAGGACAACAATTAAAGTTCAGGTAGGAGAAGTCCGACCAGGGTGGATGGGAAGGGTCCAACAACCCTCACCCTCAACCAACAACTTTCACCTGGGATGCCGGTGTACACTTCTCGAAAGAAGCCAAACCGTGTTCTTTTTTCCGAAACCCAACCATGCACTTTCATTGTTGAAGGAAAAAGTGTGTTTATTAAACTGTACATTTCCTGTGAAAACAGAAGTGTACAATGGAAACAGACGATGCATGTAACAGGCTGAACTTGACACGGTGACCCAGAACGTCAACAACCCAGGGTACCTTGCATGTCGTATGTAGACGTGGAAAGTCCATGACCGAACGATGATATGTGACGAGGTCAGAGTGATAATGTGTTAACCTGGTGTGGAGGCATAATAAGATACAACAAATCTTCTTTGTACCGTCCATGTGCGACTTACAGCTCATGGACACACCAAAGTCGGAAGATCGACTTCCCGACTCAAAGTGGGACCATCCGAGGAGCAAATGGACGCAGTATCAGAGTGTGATAGGCAAGTAAATTCAATCAAGCAAGTACAATTTTCTTTGGTAAAGAAGAATCAAACAGGACACAGGTACATGCACATGCCCATTTATTGAAATGATAATTAAGAGTCTGTGTGCAGTCATCAAGATAAGCGGGGTCGTTACATTGAGTCTTGTCAGGTGGATTTCTCCTCACAACACAAACACTTGAGGGATCTTCTGTTGAAAAGCTGCCTTCTTCAGTCTCTTCTGGTACACTCGCATGTAAAAATGAACGCATACCACTTGCAGATCAAAAAGCAAGATGACAAGACCGCAGGGAGGACTTTTGCAAAGTTAAGCCACTAAAGGTTCCCGCTATTTGTTTGTAAATGGATATGTCACCAACTCGCACTGGGAGAAGAGGATGCAACTTGACGAAACACTATTTTTAACTGTAAATACTGTACCCTGAATATTTATCATAAAAATAAACCCGTCGTTTGAAGCAAAAACAAAAAGATGATACATTCACTATTCTGTCTACTGCAAAATAAAATCCAGTGCGTCTAGTTTTCGGAACAACACTTTTTAATACCACGTAACAGATAAATAATGCATAATTGCTTAAATATATTGTGCTGGGAAAAAAAGTGACAAGCCTAAACCTGTGTTGAACATGACACATCTCTTGTAAGAGTAAATTCTTTTCCAATGAGAGTCTGCTGCTGCTGCATCATTTCTGAGACGCAGGTGATGAATGTGTTGGATTTACTAGGACAACACTCGGAGCTTTAATCTCGCCGTTACACCCAAATAAATCATTCCTGTCCTTTTCATTTTTAAGAGCATTTTCTCCGCCCGACAAATGTCCCTGTAGGATTAGGATTTTACTGTCACCGTCAGGTTCACGCTTACGGCTAAGAAATTAGAACTGTTAAATGACTTAAGGCTGAACTGTCCATCAAGTGTCACAGAAATCCATTACCTGGTTTTGAGACGTCCTGACAGTCAAAGTAATTCTGCAAACAAACAGAGGACGAAGAGGTGGAGTCGTTTCAATTGTCTGCTGGGGTTTAGGAGGCCAACTGTGTGAGCACCGTCCAAACTAAACCTTCATGCCACATTTCTTTTGTCTGTGTTGCTCCACAGTTCTCCTGGTTAAATTTAAGATGTTTTAAGACCTTGTTATCACCACATAAATTGGAATTTAATACCCGTTTTAGTTGGGATAATGTGGCCTAGAAATCTTTTCAGTGGTTCCCAGCAGTATATAACAATAAATCCTAATGACATAACCAATTAAATTAATGCAACCTGGACACGGACAACTGATATACTGACCGATTAGTAACTGAGCTTAATTAAGTTCTTGCTAAAATTGACATTTGACCATTATGAGACGATGAGCTTCCCTAGTTCCTGTAGCTAGGGAAAGTGACAGTAGCCCTTTCTACACAGAGATCACACAACAGGCCGCTACGAAGTCCCTTCTTCACGCCTCCTTTGCATTTTTACACAGAATCAAACGACAGCGGCATTGTCACTCAAAAGACACATGATGGGAGTGACATGTAACCCATGAGTGTTAGACACTGACGAAAAAGCTGTCCTTTACCAGTGGCACGCTCGGCGGCGTCAGGGGGAAACGTGGCGGGACACGAATGAAAGTTAAGGCGACGAACGTCTGAGTAGGGTGGGCAGGAGGGGTGGTGAATGGGTCAAACACCTAAACCCAACCATAATTGTTGAAGGCAAATAAATGCAGATTTGTAGTGTTTTACTGATGTAGCGCGCTGAAAGAAGACAATGCATGTAACAGGCTGAACTGCACATGGAGTCCCAGAACGTCAACAACCAACGCACCCTTTCACATTTTATCTGGACATGGAAAGTCCATGACCAAATGTTGACATGTGACGAGGCTGGAGTGAGAATGTGTTGGTTATTGGCGCCTGATCTTGTCCTCTGCTCAGAGGGTAAGGAGCTCCCGAATCTTACTGTCTTCCCAATTTACAGCCGCTGTTCTTCTTTGAGTTAGCTTCTAACTGCTAACAGCAACTTTGTAAATCTCCAGGTGGGCCGCACAGCGAACACATCGTCAAAATGTCACACCCGTGCTGCCCTTGAACCCATCTTGCAGGCTGTCCTGTTTATACAGACACCATTTCGGCGCTCTTACTACCTCCCGTGGCGATTTAAAGGCGAGACGACTCTGCCCCCCTCTTTCCGCTGTCGTACCTTACATACAGAACGCCGAGGCGGCATCACGGCACAATGTTCCCGCCTTGAACAGGCAGTGTAAAAGGGGCTAGTGTTTTCTACAACTCCTCGAAAAAAGGAATGAACATCCTGTCAAATCAATCACACTTTCAGTTTGTAGGTGTCAAAACAAATGTTCCGACACAAACAGATACAGAAATATTTTCTGACATTACTGCCGACAAAAGGCAAGGCAAATTTATGACTTTGAATGTCTTAAAAGGCCTTTTTTAGTAAACTGGATTTTGTGTTTTTCTGTGCACTCACATCTATATTTTGACAATATACACAAATGCTGAATGCTGGTAAAGTGTGCAAGTAGCTACTAGATTTGCTTTACGCACCAGACAAAAGAACAATCATAATCTAATGAGTGGCTGGTAGAAGAAAAGTTCATTTCCAACCCTGATGTGCACACGAGGGTGAAGCCCAATAAAACCCTAATTCTTTACTGCATTATTACAATTTACTGCAGATGTTGGGGTTTTATCTTTACGGATAACGGCTTGTTTTCTCCTTTAACGCTATTTATTTTTTGATTCTGCATTGTGTTATCCTGATCTCAATGTGTTAAACGTTTTGAAAAGTGGTATACAAATAAAGTTCTTTTGATCTCGTCATCTTCTCAATCTTTATCAGAGCCAAAAGGATTATGTCTGGTGTGAGATCCTTATCCAGTGTCACAATAATTAGGGACAGCCATCGGTCGGGGCTCGAAGAAAGCTGTGACCTAAAGGGTGAAAAATTGCACACTGGACTGAAAGCTTGGCTGCTCCTTTGATGATTGACACTATAGGCAGCGGCTTCAGTGTTGTGTGAACGCTGACATCATGCGAGCGCGATGCTGACATGACGATTGGGGTCTAGAGACAAGGAAACAGTATGAATCAGCAAATGACAACATGTTAATACATGTTTCTATTTCAGTCAATTTGGTGGTTGTTAATTCCACATTTCTCAATTGCTACTGGAAGTATTAAGGAATTTACGCACATAAAATGAACTTTTAAAATAGGTAAGATTATTTCACTGAGTAAAATGTAAGAATGTCTTCGTAGACGTCAGGCAAAACCTCTTGGCAAGCTCTTGTTCCTACGTATAGGACTAAAGGTCTGTGACAGTAAAGTTTTCTGGCACAAAATTGTTGCAGCAGTAACCACGTCTCTCATCTGAGCAGAGTAAACTCCCATCCGCTGGGTAAACACGTCATGAGTTGGAGGGTTCGGTGTGATCAGGCAGTGCACTAACACTAACTTCTCCTACTGATGTCTACAAAGTCAAAACACTGCGCGAGCAGGGAAAAACTGCTTGGTTGGCACGTTCAGAACTCACTTTTTAAAAACTCGTCTGCGTTAATCTTCACAGGGAATTACGCTGGACTTGACTTTCAGCTTGGCAGTCTGCTGAAGGTGGCCGCCCCCCCCCCCTCCTAAAATGTCCCAGAATGCTTTATCTGTTGCTGCATGAGTTTGGGGTTTATTAGGCTGAGTGAGAATGCAATAAGATAACACTGAACGGCTTTAGCATGCAGAATAAACCCAGTTCAGTTCTATTATTGGCAAGCTTCTGACACTTGGACTGGCATCAAACACTTGGCACCGATTTCCTGGTGAGCTTCCTAATAAACAGTGACAACAAAATTGATCTTGCAGCACCTGATAGTATTCAAATCTTCTGGAGACTTGTAAGCATCCCATGAGTTAATTTAGTTCTTTAATATCAGGCTTGTGAATGGCCTTTTATCCTGATTATCGCACAAGAATGCAGCTTGCACAGAAAAAGAGGGATGTTTCTCGATTTTAGGGACCCAATTACGGAGGGGATAGGAGGGAAGAGCAACCTTTTGCAGAGCATCAACCTAAAAAACAATCCTTGTTGGCCCTTTCTGGCGGCCGTGGCCATCAGTATGTACTTTGGCATGTGGTCACAGCTGCAGGGTGGCTGTCTCAACGAATGATCGTTTCCACCCCCACAGCTGAAAACACACAAACCTCCAAATTCCCTTCAGAGAGCAGGAGCCCTTAATCGAAACAAATAATATTTCACGTCACTGGAACCACATTTCATTAAGCACAAACACTTTAAATTCACTACCTCGATCTTCATACAACCAGGGAGGGAAACTAACAGGTCTCCAGTTTGCATCCAAATTGAGTTAGTTTCCTGCCCCGTGCACAACTCGTCTTTCAAATCGAGAAACGACAATACAGAAATAAAGGATACCGCGAGCACTGACACGTCTACTCAACAAAATCTGTGTGGATTCTTCTTTACAAATCAAAGCAAATAAATAGAGAGGACAGTACCGTTGCATAAACATGAGTACAAAACCTAACAGTCAGTGGATGTACAATAAACGCGAGTGAATCCGAGAGGGGCGGATTAGTGTGTTCGTGGATCTTGTGGAAGCCATGAACCAGTGTTAGGATGACCCCCTTTCCCTCAAGACCAGCACCTGTGCACTCTACTCCAGGTCGTCCACGTCCTCCGTCGCGACGGTGCTGGTCTGATCTGAGGTCACACCTGTGAAACAAAGAAAACATCAACGAGTGAAGCAAAAACCTGTCACACCGTGTCTGGAAATATATACATAATCGCTCAGGCCTCATGTGTCTTGGGTCACACTGAAGGACCGCGTACTCAGCTGACATCCTTGTTTACCCAACTCAAACTTTCTGATGCTGCCTTTACACATGTTAGACGCAGCACGCTAACGTGACTGGCGAGAGTATGGACGTGATAACTGTGACCTTCTATCATAACTGACGGAGGCTGTAACAAAGCCTGAACGCCATCGGTCAGATGGAGACGCACATGGACACAGGTCTTTGATCACAGAGAAATTAAACCTTACTTGAGGCATCGTCGTCAGTGGGAGACTTCTTCTTCTCCTCAACGTAGCCATGACTCAGCAGCTTGGACATGCTGACTGGAGGAGCCTTCTTCTCATAAGACCTGTCAACGAAGGCGAGACGAGACAGCGTTATGACTCGTTCGCAACGTGCAGTAAATCAGTCCAACACCTGTTTACGGTGCAGTCTTGAAAAATTTATTGCTGTTTTGACTCTGTGTTCCATCACACTGATTAATACTCACGTTCTCTTGTATTTGTTGGTCACAACGAGACCCTCAAGCTGACTGGCGACGCCATCAGGAGACATCTGTCGGGTGGAGAAGTTACCCAGATTTCCGTTTATTTGTGTTGCATTTAAAGGCAGTTACAGACTTGAACGTAGCAGCAATGTTAGGGAGCGATCACACCGAGATGAAACGCAAGAAGCGCGACACCAGTAAAACCATTGTTTTCCTATGATATGGCGCATCTGACCAGCATTCAAGCGTCTTTTTAGACGGGTGTTTTTGTAGACGCTTCTTTTTAGACGCGCGTAGACGCTGAAAAGTTAAAATATTTCCAACTTTTTTGAGCGTCAGACGCCAGTAGCTAGCACGCATTGAATAAGCGCTTCCAGCGTTTCATGCGTCTTTGAAGCATCCGCGTCTCTAGCGTCTCATTTCTGTGCGATCGCCCCCTTACAGACAAATAAAAGTGGATATTTTTGACTTTTGTGCTGCAGAGTTATACACTGATTTATTCACTTTATTGACAAATAAACAAGCTGACATGCAAGTTGATAGAGCAGAGGATGATGTGATGGCAAATGCAATCTGTCATGCAATGGAGAACGATTGAGGAAAGTGGCATGAACCAAAACCCGCAGATAGAAGAAGATTTATTTTTATAATATTGCTTTTTTGCCTTTTTTTCCTCTAATGTAAATGCTCTTATACTGACTGAGTTTGCAATTATGGTATGCAACAGGGCTGCCCCCCGACTAAGAATATTCCTAGTCGGACTTGGGTTCGTCCTTCACCTTCAAAAACAAATACCCGCCAGTGGCCGATGGAAAAGTTTGACATGCATGTGGGTTTTTTGGGCATTCAGTTGTAACTTCTGAGCAAGATGTGGCGACACATTTCTGCCGTGAAGCCACTGCCAGAAAAGACAAAAAACGAAGATGAACATGTCGGACTTGGACAAGAAGAATGGCAGTTAAACGGAGCACAAATGTCGCACGGCATTTTAGTGAAAAATGGAAACTAGACAAGGCTGGCCAGCCGCGGTCATGGCTGACTTACGACCCCCACACCAACACGATGAGCTGCAGCCTCTGCCGCAAGCACGCCAAAGAAACACAGAGGACAGGGTTGGATTTTCCTAAAGTTGGAAGGTAATTATTTTTAGTCAAACAAGGCACGATTTTTTTATTTGGCTGGTAAAAAAAATATGTTTGGCTGGTGAATTTTTGGAGGTCACTAGCCAATGGCAGATGAGGTAAAAAGTTAATTTTACACCCTGGATCCCATACTTTGGATTTCCTGCATCTGTCCTTTCAAATTAGTCACACATGGTCCAGTCATACAGGTTTAGATTTATTTTGACATGGTGCAGCTCCTAATAGAGTCTCTTTTTCTTTTTTTGTTTTCTGCGACTAAGCTTCCAATGAAATCTTGCCTACTCATGACCCTTCTGGAAGACTAACACATAATTTATAGTTCTGCGTTGAATCGACACGTAGGTTACGGCCGTAGCCTAACATGCACCTCCCCAGAAATGTAACTACACGTCGCAGTGACACAGACCTCGTGTTTGTCGCTGTATACTGAAACCATTTCTCTCAGTGGAAACGGAGCTTGTATTTACTTGTATTTCACAGGTAACAATAAACTGTGAAGACAATAAAGCCTCCACTAAAATAGCATTTTAAGTCTTGTGTGTAATTTATCCTTCAGGGATTTATACTTCGACGTGCGTAAGGTCTGCGCACAACCATAAACGCTTGGTCAACTACTCGGGGGCAGCCCTAGTATGCAACTAATATTCTTGTCCTAATATTGCTTTTTAGCCAAGCTGCCTCCACAAGATATCACTCCTCATAAGACTACCTAAAAAACATGCAGTTAAAAGCATTACCGTTCTGACACACTGTGTTTTTAGTTAAAAAAAAAAAAATAAAGATATCATTATATGAAACATATTTTATATGAATTTGTGTTTTATCAGGTCCCTTTAATGCTTCACTTTGTACTTACCTATAACCTTTACCAACATTTCCACAAAGCTGTCACACAGCCAAAGCACCAGCAGAAATTAAACCCAAATGAATTTCAACCAAACTGCGACGATGGATCAGGTGAAAAAAGGGAAGGTGATGGTAAAAGTGTAAATAAATAAATAAATAAATAAATAAGGATGGAAGACATCGACACGGTATAAATGCTGGGTGGGGTGGGGGTGACTTCATTCGATCCATTCACCTTCTCATTAGAGGGGGAAACTCTATCGTCTCTTTCCCAGGACGAACAGTTATCAGTGCCAAACGGGGCGTTCAGAGGCCGCATGGCCGCCTTCGTCACGCCATCAGGAGACACCGCTTTGCTTCCGCTGTAAGCACAAAACCACGATCATACACGATGTGAAATCACTGCTGGGCACTTATCACATTCTGGGAGGTTTGGGCTGTGGCGCGTACGCTTGGCTCGTGCTGCATGTGGCCCATCAAAAAGCACTTAGAGATGTTTTATCTTTAAAAAATCCAGTTGGCTGATCAGATTGCCTTTCCCACTGAAGACAGGTTCTTCGTTTAACACAATCATAACCCTCTCTACAGCTGATATAAACAACCCTGTGTTAAAGAGTGTGAGGTGAGCGTGTGTTAGGAAACAAATATTAGAGGCTGTTTTTATTTGCACACCATCTCAGCATGCGGAGACGCATCTTCACCGTGTTAGATTGCGGATTTGTGTTCTTACCTCTTTGACTCATCACCTCCGAACCAGTTGGGTGGGTTGTACGGCTTCCTGGGTTGGTCATCAGAATCAGCATCATGACTCAACAGCCCTGCGGGTGGGGGGGGGGGCACAATGTTCAGTGATGAAGCACGCTGGTGTATCTCACCTTTCAAAGCACAAGTTGATAATTAATTCAATTATTTTAGCAACAATCTGAGCTGCAACCAATAAAACAAGTGAGAATAGTCACCACTTTGCAGAGGATTCATCCATGCATGGCATAAAACATTCATGTGAAACTCGACACTGAACTTTTCAGTGCAATGCCTGTTTTTCCCCGGTGACGATGCAGTTTCAATAAACAGAAGCGGCTTGTTGTGCAGGGGGATGCATGAAAGAAAGAGCATTTTTTGGAAAAAGATTCCCCCTTTCATGTTGCGGAGCGGTATGCTCGTGATTTGCATTTCAAAGTGTGGAGCTAAAGTGTCTACAATAAACAAATCAGCTGGGATTTTTTTTTTTTTAAATTCATTTTCAAAATGTGATGACTTCCACTGTTTTAATTCACAGCACAGTTAAAGTCCCAGTGAGACAGAAGTTTGAGCATCTATAACTTCTGTGCTGTGATGTACAAAGAGATCTGGATGCAGTGTTGGAGGCCGGCCCTGTTTATTCCTGTGAAAGTTGCTCAGTGGCGTGTGAAGCCAAAAAAGTTTGACTTCCTGCTGCTTACCGGCTCCGACCCGTTGTTGGGAACACTCTGTCTTATTTACATTAATTTAGCTTAGCTTGTTAGCTGGTAACTAGCTTCTAGTGGTCCGGACCACTCTGCAGAAGGAAGGATGGTGAGGCGTTCAGGTCCTGTTCACCAACAATGGCTTTACTGCAGTCTTCACCACAAAACAACAAACATGGCCGTCTCATGAGGTTCAACAGGAGCCCACAGCTCATCGAGACACTTTATTCTGTTGCTGCTGTCACTCTTTGCCGCTTGCCGTCTTCATCATGACACCCAAAGAGAGCTGCTTCCCTCTACATACACTGAAGTACATGTGACACCCTCACAGGTTACCCACAAGGCCATAGAGCAAGCGCACTAGAGACTTCCACCGGCCGAGCAGCTAACGTTTTCTTCAGCACTCCGCTAACTTGAATGGGGATAAAATAATCGTGAGGCTCTTCTAGACTTTCCAAATGTTATCGGATTGAATAGATCAAATCATGATAGTGAAGCTACTCATTTTGCACCACAAATATTAGTCGGTTAAACCAATTAGTGTTTTATTCATGTGCAAGGCTGCTTAACGGTCATGCAGCTGCCCGCCACTAGTGGGTGCTACAGAGCTGTCAGGATTTTGATATAAAAATACTCAGATGCTGATTTTTGATATATAGTTGGCATGTAACAAGAAATAAATGATCAATTAACACATGGATTAAAACTGCAAAAATGTATTTCTCATTTCATGGGGACTTAAAGGTCAACTCTTCTATCTGAGGGCAGGAGCATGTAAATCAAATTACCTCATCTTAATGTGCAAAAGGAGACAACAGACATTTCAGACACTACACAACAATCGTTTCATGAATGTATCGTCAGCATTTCAGTGCACTCTGTCATAAAACTAGGACACCTAAAGAGACTTTTACCTTTGTGCCCTCCTCCCTTCGCCAGCTTGACATACTCCGAGTCTGACTCAAAGATCCCAACTCGCCGTCCGCTTATCCTCTCCACCGGAGACGTTTCATCTGCAGTCTGGGACAGACCGGGGATCTGGGAGGTCGGCCCAGTCACGCCGCTGGTCACTACCCCGGTCTTTATCCCTGCAATGACCCAAGAATTAAATCTGCTTGTTTGCAACTTGTGGATCTTGTTATAAGGAAATTAATGATGAATATTTTTAGCTTTGTGTATTCTCTTAAAATTGAATTAAGTCTTACCACCGGGCTTGGTCCTCCGATGGTTGGGTACCGCAGCGCTCATCTCAGCTGAAGATATCAGGCAATCTGATGAGCAAAGGGAACACTTAATGGTCTCTTATGTGCACGGTGAAACATATCAATTTAAGGACATTATACTAGTTGGCAAACATATAAAATAAGACTGTAGCTTCTTTTTAAAATCTTTAATATCACTTGTTGCACATACAATTTCCACTTTCAAAAGATGTCCTGCCTGTTTTCCTCCACCCATCTTCCACCACAATAGACAGGGAGGGGCAGGAGCCTCAAACTAGTGGTGGAGGAAGTATTCAGTTCCTTTACTTAAGTAACAGTATGAATACCACACTGTGAAAATACTCTGTTAGAAGCTAACTGATCTTATTTTGTAAAGTAACTAGTACCCAAAGCTGTTAGATAAATGTCGTGAAGTAAAAAGTACAATATTACACTTTAAAATAAAGTGCATGTATAAAGTGGCATTAAAGGAAAAGACTCAAGCAAAGTATAAGTACCTCAAATTTGTACTTAACTACAGTACCTTAGCAAATGCACTTCCTCCAGTGCCTACACCCATTAAAAGAAACTTGTTTTTTTGGTAAATAATTTCATGATTAGTAGATAGTTTGTATGCCGAATTTACCAAAAGACCAATAGCCTTAATATAAGATAGAAATTAATGTTTAAAAAATAGTGTACTGTCAGCTAAGAGCCATGTTGTCCTAAATTATCGATTTTTCTAATGCAGTTTGGCCTTGCGTTGCTCCATATGTCACACAGCGGCCTGTATGAGCGTCTCCTTCGGATTACTAGCAGTTAAAACAGTAAAATAATAACAGGGAAATAACACAACACTTATTTGTGTGTGTAAAATGAGCTATATTAGCTTATAGCTGCAGCTAACGCCAACAAAACGATGCATATAATTAATTTAAAAGACAAATGGTAAAAAGTGAGCCCACTTAGCAGAGGGTGGATAACGTTTATAGCCGGCTAACGTTACTGTGAAACTGTAGTTTGACCCTACACACATTATATCGTCAATATAAAAACGCAAACAACACTGAGTTAATACTAAAATCATCTTTTATACCGGAATAGTTTTACTTCGCCGCTTAGCTAACAAAGCCTTGCTAATTCAGCTAGCCGCCTAGCTAGCTGCCGCAGCGGCTTCCCGGCGCTAACGTCACTTTGCAACGCAATAACGCTACTTTTAACGCGTGTAGCTAACAACACTACCCGCTAAAAACCAGACGCATATCTTACTTTATATGCTATTTCTCTTTCGTTGGAATTATTGAGCGATTTGTTGTAATTAAATACCGTTAGCTCCCCCTTATTCTGCAGGCAAAGGATGAACCGCACACACTTCCTGTGGCACCTGCTGCCGACTTCCTGTACGCTAAACGAAGATCGTGTATTTCCGACAGAGCATGACGTAATTGTGTAGGCGATTTGATTTATACTGTAAATCAGGTGCTTTCAAGCTTCAGATGATAGTGATAGAATTTTTTATTATTATTATTATTATTATTGTTATAAATGCCTCTTTATAAAATAATTCTGAATAGATCTGGATTTTTTTTTCAAGTCGTTGACTTGTACAATAATTTATTTAGAAATAAGAGACATATTTTTTTAAGAGATGAATCATATTGCTTGCAGAAAAACTGCATTTTGAGCCACTATATTTTATGTGGAAAGCAAACAAAACAAAACAAATATGTAACGCCTCAAATGTTATTTCAATGTTGTTTAAATACTACCGCTATATAGGTTTTTTTTAAAGCAGGTATTGAAACGGGACAGAGTGAGAGCTCTTTCTGATATTCATACTGCTACTGCATTAAGAGACGGTCTTTGTTCGTCCAGAAGACAGTCTGGACCAAAACCCATTAATTTACATTTTCTCATGGTTACAACTCCAATTGTAAGTAATTTAAATCCTTTATTAATGACTTACTAGTATGAATAACTTCAGAATTTGTGTCAAGCAGCATTTATAGCCTATTTGCATTAATTGCTACGACCTAACAACCCCAAAACCAGGAGTGTAGACACAGTGCAGGCAGGGCCCCATAGAGAGTCGGCCCTCCAACTACGTTAGGCAGACATGTTGCCACCTTTGAAACATGCCTGTGTTTGAGATGATGTGAGCTTTGTGACATGGTGCGTTATCCTGCAGGACGTAGCCATCAGAAGATGGGTATACTCTGGTCATAAAGGGATGGACACGGTCAGCAACAATACTCAGATAGGCTGTGGTGTTTAAACCATGCTCAGTTGGTTCTAAGAAATACTCTATTGATTGGTGTACCTAATAAAGTGGCCGGTGAGTGCATATTTTCTTTTTGGGGCATAAGACTGACCTGATAAGACCTCATATGAATAATGTTTGTAAGACAAGCTGCGTCACTGATCACAAAGCATTCATCAAATCCACTCAATCTTTATTATGCTTAACACATATAATCCGAATCAAACGTCAAACATGTAATTAGAATAAACAGCATTAGTAATATTATATTAACTCTGTTAAGAATAATTGCCATCAAAGTGCCGCTCATGAAAACAACATGCTATTAATATGCTCTAATAACTCAAACACAGTTATTGTGATGCCACACACAGATAGTTTCACGCCACAAATTAGATTTACTCATTAGATTTTTGTAGGATTTCTGTCTTTGCGTTCCACATTTTTTCTCAGAGGAGTAATACATTCAGCAAAGCAGAAACAAACTGCATCCTGGAATGAACTCATTTTCATAAAACACAGTATCATCAGCGCATGCAGAAACACCACAGCAGTGGGAGCAGATTAATGTGTGAGACGCTGATAAATGAAAGGTTAGCAGGATCCCGCCAGCGCTCTCTGACTGGCCGCCAACTCTGACGGACTCCTCGGAGGTCGCTCAGTAGTCTTTGACGCAGTCGGGGCAGAGGATGTCGTCTTTGCACGTCAGGAAGCCTCGACCCACCAGAGACACGCAGCAGCGTTTGCAGTTGAAGCAGTCGTTGTGCCACTGCCGCTGCTCGAACGAGATGTACTTGCTGCCACCGAGACCTGAGACAGAGGCGACACAGAGGAGCCACGAGGGGGTTACAAAGCAGGCTGTCTCATGATCCCTGTAATGTAATAACCCTGTAATTGAAGGTGATTGGATCCACAGAGGGGAGCATGTGATGCGGTAAAGGTTCAGGCCGTGTTAAAGGTGTCATTTATGCTGAAGTTACTTCTCTATATTTCTAGTTCACGTCGTGGCGTGTAATGAGACTTTATCTTGTTATATTCAGTATTTTGGGACACATTCATTTTAATGCATGTATTGTAATCACATTTTTGTGAGCAGCTGTTTTTGATGAGTGTCTCATGACCAACAGTACGCAGCATTAGACAGTGACAAACATTTCCTAGTATCTTCAGCTTCAGCTTGACCCATTTTAAGAATTAACGCAGGTATGTTGGCTTCTGCTGCTTTCACAACGTCTGTTAGACTCGTAAAATACGTCTCTTGCAAGTTCCTTTAATTTGTAAATGAGATCCCTTTTAAAGATGTTTTCTTCTTCAGATATTACGTAAACCAGTATCCATTTCTTGGAACATTAATCACCCCAGCAGTTTACGGAGAATGAACCCAGCCTGAAAATCTGACTCTGGGCATTATGGGAAGATGGGCTGCAGCTACACCAGGGCCCATGAGACAGGGGCCACTAAAGAGAGTGGAGAGTGGGCCCTCCAGGAATGTGTTGGGTGGAGAATGGACTGCCACCTTGAAAATATACCTGTCTTCAAACAAGAACTCTCAACAATTAAAACTGTTAAACAAATAATTTCTTATTTTCTTTGGTATTTTTTGTCATATACATATACACATTGATGATTGCTGGGTAGTATGTGTGTTGATGTTAACCAGTGTCAAGTCTCAGATCATGTGACGAGAAAATATGTGCACGATAGTGTGCACTGGGGCCCGTCACAACCACCTTACGCCGCTGCCCTGGGCACAGAAATACAGTGGGCCCATGACGCTTCCTAGAGCGGAATAAGACACCCTGACTTTGTGGTGTTTTTGCATGTCTTCTTGTCATCTTTGAGTGGTCATTTTGTGTCTTTTTGGGTCTCTTTGAGGTAACTTTATGTCTTACTGAGGTAATTAATTGTCTTATTGAGGTGATATTGTGTCTTTTTGGGGTTTTTTGTGTTGCTTTTTAGTAATTTTGTTCCTCCTCGTGGTTGTTTTGCCCATTTCTGTTACCTTTTTGTGGTCATTTAAAGCCTCTTCCTGGTCAGAACGTGTTAGTTTGGCATTTTGTAAGTAAAAGCCAGGGAGGCCCCAACACTTTGGGCCCCTGGGCCTGTGCCTGGTAGGCCCGCTCAGTAATCCATGCAAGCCTCCAGGGCTGAAACATTTGCAGCAGATATGAACATGTTTACAGCCTGGTTCAAAAAACAGTTTTGGTCTCTACAGCTAACTTCCCTGTTCGTGACGACACCTTGTTTTCTCACAGTCGTGTCTTGTGCCCATATTTCCGTATCGTATACGGAGTACGCCCCTAGTGTTTAACACAAGGAAATGCATCTCTTTACGGATGGATAAGGTTCATTTTGGGTGTTTCAGGCTGTTAGACATCCTGGATATATCCTTCAGATGCATATTGTAGTTACAGTGAGGGCTTCAGGCTCACTCCAACAGCTTGACAGACCATTGCAAAGGGGTAGGGATTAGCCAAGGGTCAATGATGGTCACCTCGGGTTTAAACAGGCCAAGATGGTGACAGCCAAAATGTTAAACTCTAGGCTTCAAAAACAGGAGAGCACAAACCAATTGAGGGCGTGACAATGGCTACTTACATTATCTTATATAGTCTATAGTGGCGACTGAGAGGTCTGGAACCAGACTAGAGTCGACATGCCTGCCTGATTTAAATACTAGATGAGATGAGTCCAAAGTAATTCATTGAAAAATTCAGAAATCTGAATAACTGGATCTATTTTGACCAAGGTTTAAGTGCAGGTGGACCCTTACCACTGATGGGGGTGGTGCAGTAAGCACATTTCTTAGCAAACAGGTTGCAGAAGCAGTTCAGGCAGTAGGCGAAGTCGTCCCGAGAGGTGAACCGTTGACCGACCAGCTGCTGCTTGCAGCCGATGCAGACGAAGCACTCCTTGTGCCAGGGCTGGTCGCGGTAGTTCACTCCTCCAGTGGTGATGGGCTGAAAGATATACAACCATATGTCATGTAAACTGTGTGAAGAGCTGACCTTTAATTGACTTTTCAAGGCTGTCAAATTAAGTGCTTAAACGTTAAATTTACTGAGACTACTAAGCATGAATACATGGCTTCACACTGCTTGATTTCTCATGATGTCATCGATGCTGCTTGTTGCTGATTCAGTCCCAGGCGAGCCAGATGACTGCTGTCTCACCTCCCAGCTTTTAACACAAAAAGACGCCTCCGATTCCTGCCTGCTCGCCATCTGTTTCCTGCCCATTACTGTTATACACCAGCCTTCTTCCCTCCTTCGCTGTGTGTCTTCTCATGACTGCAGCTTTAGCAGAGATTCAATTTGAAGTAAGTATTTCACTTAACATGAGCATCATACACTCAGTCTAGTGTCAGAGGAAAATACTGGCATTGTACATTTCTGCAAACCACACATTACATTTGCATGTTTCATACGTGTCATATCAAAGTTTGTAAGGTGACGTAGTATATGAGCTGACGTTGTCATCAGGAGGTGGAGGGGATGGTGGATGGCGAGACGCCTGCCAAGTGGCAGTGTTTGAGACCATCAAACAACAAAATCTGTTGTGTTTTAACGAGTCATTGCTGTTGCTCCAGCAGCTTCTTGGTCATCAAAGTTGGTGTTTCTTAGTGACTCGTCATTGTGTTTCCACAGGGGATAAAGCCACAAAAAGCGTTTGTTTTTTTACTGAGACATCACTGCATTTCTTGTCAGGATAGTGCAATGAAAACTGGTTGGTTTTTCCGAGACATCACCACTTTCCTGCAGAGATAGTGGCATTAAAGGGGTTGTTTTTTTACTAACACATCACTGCATTCCTTCCAGGATATTTCCGTGAACAGCGGTTGTCCTTTGCCGAGAAATCGCTGCATTTTCTGTTGGGATAGTGGCATGAAAAGCTGCTGTTTGCAACCGAGACATCACTGTATTTCCTGTCAAGACAGTGTCCCGAAAAGTCTTTTTTTTACAGAGCCATGGCAACATTTCCTGCTGGGATAGTGCCACAAAAAGAGAGTTTTTAACCGAGACATTGATGCATTTCCTGTCAAGATATGACTTTGAAAAGTGGTTGTTTTTTCTGAGACATCACCACATTTCCTGTCAGGATAGTGGCATGAAATCCAATTTTTTT